ATTTTTAGGTTAGAGATGGGGTTTGTCACCATGTTGGCCAGGCTGCGTCTTGAACTCTTGACCTCAAGTGATCCACCCACCTCAGCCTCTGGAAGTGCTGGGATTACAGGCGTGAGCGAGCCACTGCACCGGCCCAAGATGAATTTTAAAAACTTTAAAAATGTTCACATAGAAATGTTATTTTTGCTTTATTATTTTATGACACGAGGTATGTAAACTCTACTGAGGAGAAAAAAGAGTTTAAAAATGTATATACAATATATTATCCACATGTGCATCTTTACTAATTACAAAGAGTTTTATTATAACATTGTTATGTGTAGGAAGTCATTTCCATTATTACAGTGTATGGCACGCACTTATCTTTAGCAAATACCCTAGTATTTTATATCTTGTATAGAAATATGCTTTGGTGTGATTACGAGATGGTTTCTTGATTGATACTGTTAGAAAATGGACTTGAGGGGGGTTAGCGGGTGAGGGGAGAGAGAGCATTAGAACAAATAGCTAATATATATGGGTCTTAAAACCTAGATAATGGGTTAATAGGTGCAACAAATGACCATGGCACACATCTACTTATGTAACAAACCTACATGCTCTGTACTTGTACCCTGGAACTTAAAAAAAAAAAAAAAAAAAGTTAAAAGGAGTTCTTCAGAGTAAAGGAAAATGATATAGGCCAGAAACTTGGCTCTACATAAAGAAATAAAGAGCACTGATGGAAAAAAAAAAAAATGGATTTGAGGTACAAGTAGCCAGCCGTAGTTGCTGTCCATGATTCTCTAGAGGACTATTTTTTAAGGCTCTTGGGCCCAAAAATTGAGTCAGCCGGACCTCTCCTGTATTCAGAAATGCTTTTCTACCTGATGGGTTAATCGGTGTACATGGCACCTGGTTCCTGCAAATGAAATCTTCAAGTTGCAAAGAGATTTATGTGATTGATCTTTCCCGGAATTAAGTGTTATTGGGGATGAGTGCTAATGACTCTTCCCAGTATCCTCTCCGTTCTTCTGCCTTACTGCCCCTCCCCAAACAATAATAAAAATAAGAGAGAGAGAGAAAGCAATGACAGTCTGGATTTATAATGTCAAAGTAAGTTCAGAGTAAAATGCCTTCTTAGGTTTTCATTTTAATGCCTTTACTATGTGTGAAATTGCCTCTTTCTCTCTTATTACATTTGAGATTGCCAGAATTACCGATCAGCCTATCAGCCAGCCTGTTCTTTATTCAAGGTGCTGACCTAGCTGAGGAGGAAGAATGACCAGTATACAGGGTTTCTTCTAACATTAGAAGAGATATGTGTGTGTCTGTATGTGTGTGTGTGTATACATTCCTTAGAATAAAACTGATACAAAGAAGGCAGATTACTTTTGAAGACTACTAGAATATACTGCTTTATGCATTAATTCCATCTGGGATATGTGACTATACCCAGGCCATTACTTAAATGTTGTCTGAACTTGATGACTATGGAAAATAATCTCTATGTTCATGTCTATATTTTTAAGTGTATTTTCATTAAGTTAGTACTTGATAAAAGATATTTTCTAGGATTAGCCTGCTTGACCTTTGTGAGTCACCAGATACAAAATTGAATGTGTCAGGGCAACTATTCTGAAATCAATTGGACTATGTATATATTTTGTATACCCTTTATCTTCCCTGTGGAGAACAAAAGTTCTTATTGTTGGAGCTAGGTTCTCACATACTGTAGAACATATATTCGAGTATAAAGTGACCCTAAAAATAATGTGCCACTCGCAATGTTATCAGTGAAGAAATAAAAGAGAGGTAAAGTAATATACAGGGGTCAGTCACCTCACACTTAGGGCAATCTGGGCACATGGTAGCCCAGTGCTGAGAACTGTGCCTGTGGTTCCAGTCCATGGCATGCATTTGACCTTGGATGTAGCTGCATTGCATACTCTGCTCCAGTGTTCGAAAAGCAGAGTAAGTCAACAGGACAGAAGAAGCCTTTCAGTCCTTCCTCTCATTTCTGTCATTCCCTTGCAGGCCAACTTGCCCCTGCTGCAGCGTGAGCTCCTCCACTGCGCAAGACTGGCCAAACAGAACCCTGCCCAGTACCTCGCCCAGCATGAACAGCTGCTTCTGGATGCCAGCACCACCTCACCTGTTGACTCCTCAGAGCTGCTTCTCGATGTGAACGAAAACGGGAAGAGGCGAACTCCAGACAGGTGAGAGGGAGGAGGAGCCTGGATGAACCATGGCCTTTTTCTCAACGTTTAACACGTTTATTGTGACAATTAAACTGCCGGCCTATGTCTCTTGCACAATAGCAATAAGCCATTGTGGCCATCTTGAGAATCTGTCTCTGAATCTGTCTCTGGCCTGGGATTTTACAGAGTTTTGAATCTCTGGCTTGTGACAGTTTGGCTTTTGTATAGATTAATCTTTTCTGCTTGTAATATTAAAGCTAAATGGTGAAGATGAACGATTTTTTAGATTTTCCAAGTACAACTGATGGCTCTTAGATGCACATCAGTATTTAAATTCTCATTTATTATGTAATTTAACCCAACCACATATTTTACTTCAATATTCTGAAATTGGCTGTTCCTAGTTTCCTTAAAATGTGACGGTTTTGAAGCTTGTCTGTATGTATTTCTTAACACAGTACAGTAGCTATTCGTTTTGGTTTGTATACGAACTAAGAGAAAACTTCTGGGACACTAGATGAACTAAGTGAAGATAAGAGTTATACAGTAGAGACCATAGATGGTATTTTTGCTGAAAATTTTACTTGTTAGATACTGTTCTATCAGCTACTGTGCTCTCATAACTGAGAATGCAAAGAAATGTAACATAAAACTACTTCTCCATTAAACCCTACAAAGTAATTGTTGAATAAAGCATACACATGAAATTTCCCATTTACCGTAGTAAAATAGTTTTTGTGAATACCTCATCCTCATCTGTATCTTCTGGTATAGGAATGCACAGTCTTATTAGCATCATTTTGCATAGTATTTTTGAAATATGGAGAATTTTATAATGAAGCTATATTCAAAAACTTATTTAGCATATACTTTGCTTTCTTTCTCTGCTTATCTGTTCTCTTTTGCTGCATTTCATCAGGCATGGGTGTGACAGCCTTCGAGAGGTTAACACCCTGACACAGTTATGTTCCACATTCATAGGAGCTTAAGATCTTTGGAGCTGCTCAGAGACATCTATTTGTGACCGACTTAGCTATCCTTAAATGTATTAGCTGCTTTGCAAATCAGAATGTTATTTAAAAGCCAGCCAGTTTACATACTGCTATTACATAATCCTCTGTTAAGCAGTTTTTATGCTACAATCTCTGGAATTTTGTTCCTCTTGACATAGAACCTCTTAATAGTTTAAAATTCCTAAAGCAAACAGTGAAATATTAGTCTCCTTTTGACGTATTGTAGGCCTACCTTCATCTGTGACCCACAAACAGAGCTACTTTCTTATTCTTGCAACTCGTATTTTCTTGGTCACATTGAAGAGTGAAATAGAGCACTTAGTAATTTAGCTTTTAAAGGGAACTGCTTAATCCATGATGCTGAAAACCAAGAGGTGGCTCAACATTAGATGATTTACACGTGCATTCCTGTTTGACCTGAACCCATTTACCCTGCAGGAAATGAGTATGACATACAGATAGTGAGATATTTTAGCTCCATGATGAAAGAATGAAGGAGAGACTCAATGGAAAATTGGAAGAAGGAAATGTATTTAGGATTGTTGCGGTGGGGGGAGTGTAACAGGGAAAGGTTTAGAGAGCTAAGATAAATGCAGAGATGATCCTGTAGGCAAAATTGAAAATGCACACAACTTACTCTGGCATTCCTAACTGCTAAATAACCATAACAGGGAATATGAAAATCTGTTTCATTCATTTCTCTATATTTCCAACTGTTTTCTCACTAGCTCTTGCCCAGTATTTTATGTTTGAATGTATCATGACTTTAGACTATCATTGGACAGTCCTAAGGTAAGTGCTGGGCAGTATGTTAACATTGATGTGAAAACTTCATCTTAAATTCCGCAGACGCTCAGCATTCTTGTTTTGATGCTCCATCGCTGTGCATGCATCACTGTATGCATTCAGTCAGGTAGAACTCTCCTAAAAAGAGTCTTTGGTCTGATTTTCCCTTTGGTTTTTCATGGATGGTTGCCAGAGTCAGAGTTCACATGGTTAATCTTTGGATGGAATATTCTTTATCAAATGGAGCACTGAAATATACATTATATCGCAAAGATGGCAAATGGGTTTCCTTAGAGTTAGGAGGAAGGGTAATGAGAATATGTTGTGTAAATACATTTGTATCTTGTGGGAATTTGATCAGAGCCAAGAAAATATGGGCCTCTACAGTATTTTTTCTTTTTGCATATATTTTCTGTATCTTGTTTGCATATGCATTTTCCTCTTCTCTGGTTATTTATCTGTATATCCAGATCTACTATATGAAATTTTATAGAGTATGGAGCTGTCTGACAGCAGAGCTTTTTTTGTTTTACTGAATGTTTTGTTGGTACATATGGTCTGACATGGATGAGCAGCCACGGTGAGATTTTGGAGTCTATTAAACTGGCTCATTAAAAAGATCAATCTGTTTCTGTAATAACACTGGGAGCCATCAGTCACTAAAAGAGGGAAAAACTGACACCTGAGGAGAAAACACATTTTGGTAATTTGTTCATGACATGTCATGAACAAAAGAGCGCTCTATATTTTGTTTACAACTTTGGGAGCTTAAATTCTGTGACGATTGCTGAGTTAATGTACTAAACAGTCATCACGTGTTTCAGGGATGGGTTTTGGCAAATTTAACTTTCTTCTTGTCCTTAAATATGATTGTCACTGGTTATGTTTTTTTCTTTTTTTAAACATTATTGTTATTTACAGAGAAATGAGTACTCTAGGGAAGTCTATGAAATCTTTTTTTTTTTTCTTCTTGCATGGAACAGTGAAATGTTTTCTACTTTCTTTTAAATATAGCTCTGGAGAGTGTCTCTGAACAAGTGTACTGATTTTGTAGGTCTGTGAGAGAATATTGTAGAACCCAAAGTAGAAAAAGATAATTTTTGTTATAAAATTGTGTTATTTCTTTCCCAAAATATTAGGGAAACTAAGTAGGAAATTCTGATTTCTATTCTTTGTTAATATGTAAAAGTCAGTTATTTATAGTAAACATTTATTCTTCTATCATGCTGTGATGGGAGGTGCTGAAGAAGAGAATGCAGTCTTTTGTTTTGGAGCCATGTAAACGAAATGAACACTCTCTCAGATACAGAGTAGAAGCTAAGAGCACTCTTTAAAACTGCTCACCGTGGTAGCTCGTAAAGACACAAGCACTTTTGTGTAGGAGGAAGGAAAAGAACTGTTAGATAATGCTTTCTTTCTTTGAGACTGCAGAATGGATTAAAATTATTAAGATTTAAAGAAAATAATTGTGTTAGGATGATTATCATTGCTGTCTTTCTTTTCTCAGAGCTTTGATATCACAGCTTTTTGATCTAATTTGCCTTTAGTATCATATTCTCACCTGTTATGCTACTTTTCTGATTTAGGGTTCTTCTTGCTTAAGAAATCAAATCAAATAATCTTTGCTTTTGTATGGGTAACATTGTTGTTTTGTTTCCCATTTTGTTCCCCCTACTATCTCAAATGATTGATGTTAAGTATTAATCCCCTTACATATCATTATTTTAATGTAATTATGCTTTACATTACTCTCAGTTTAACACTTCTAAACTTTCAATACAAAGGCCTTGTAGTTGGATTAATATGTATTTCCTCCTCCCCCAAGAATTAAACATTATTCTCTAAAAAGACTTGCATGAACTTTAGAGATATGTAATTTGTCACCTGGGAGGGATCTTATGGATACACAAGGCCCCATTCTTTTTTTTTTTTCCTTAGGCATGGTCCGCAGTGTTGCCCAAGCTGGTTTCGAACTCCTGGTCTCATGTGATCCTCCCACAGTGTTGGGATTACATGCATTAGCCACCACACCCTGCCTTTTTATATTTCATACCAAAAGAAAAAAAAATTACACATACTTTAAATTTATGGATTTGCTCCTGGGATGTTATCTGTATTTTTTTTTTTTTTTTTAAGACAGTGTCTAGCTATGTTGCCCAGGCTGGTCTCAAACTCGTGGGCTCATGTGAACCTGCTGCCTCAGGCTCCTGAGTAGCTAGGACCTAGGTGTGCACCACCACACCCAGCTGGCTCCCATCTCTTTATTCTTGCACAAAGTAAGGCCCAAAGAACTTGCCTAATGTTGCAAAGTTTCTTAGTGAGAAACAAGCATATTTGCATACTTGAAATCTTCCAGTTGCATAAAATATGTTTCAATGTGCAGAATTTAAATAAGGAAACTCAACTAAGACTTAAGCTTCTCTTTTTTCACCTTACTTTCCCTCATTTATTTTCTATAGTTGCTCAAGTGGGTAGATGCCATAGTATAACATTCTGAGGTTTTATATATCTTTTTAACGGTAGAAGAGCCACAGCTAGCCTGTGTTCCTGACTAACTGTGTTCCTCAGTTAGAAAATGCTGAAGGTTGGAGGGTCAAAGGCAATCATTTTGAAATCATATTGGTTGTATTTGTAAGATTTGTTACAACAGTACACACCAACTAAACCGACTAGGTCCCTTTTTTTGTTTGTTTCTGTAAAATGAAGGAGATTTCACTATTTTTATCTTTCTAAAAGAAAAGACAGATATGCTTTACAAGGAATTGTAGGGTCAACTGTGCAAATAAGAATTAAATTTGTATAACCTGCATTCAGTATTCTATGAAAAAAATGTAGGGATTTTGTGTCAATTTATACATTCTAGTTTGCGTTCCTTCTATTATGTATTCCACAGTTGCAAGGAGTGATTTTTAAAAATATTAGTCACATCAATTGGGAGGTCTTTCAGTGAAATAGCACAAAATTACATTTATTTATTTATTTATTTGAGATGAAGTTTTGCCCTTATTGCCCAGGCTTCGGTGAGGGATCTTGACTCACTGCAACCTCCACCTCCTGGGTTCAAGCGATTCTCCTGTCTCAGCCTCCCAAGTAGCTGAGACATCAGGGGCCCACCACCATGCCCAGCTAATTTTTTGTGTTTTTATTAGAGACGGGGTTTCACCATGTTGGCCAGGCTGGTCTTGAACTCCTGACCTCAGGTGATCCACCCACCTCGGC